TATGATGATGGGGGTGATGGGGGTGGCCATGATGGGGGTGATGGGGGTGATGATGATGGAGGTGATGGGGGTGATGGGGCTGGGGGATGACCATGACCATGATGGGGCTGGGGGGTGACCATGACCATGTTGGGGCTGGGGGGTGATGGAGGTGACCATGATGATACCGACCACCACGACAACCACAACAACCACGACGATGATACCGTGACCCGGCTACAACTTGGCTTTATTCAGCCAGACACGCCCTCGGGCGCCGCCACAGCCGCTTCGTTCTCGTGATGGGCTTCCACAGGCGTTGATGCCCCGCCCTGTGGCGATGGCGCTGAGGACGCATGCGGGATGTGGGCCTCAACCACAAACTCGCCGCCACTCTCGCCGGCCAGCACGCTCGCCCGTGCAGCAGCCACATCAGGCGGTAACGGCGACGGCTCACCGTCGAGCATCTTGGGTGGATCGGCAGGAAAGGCGCCGCCGGGAGCGACGGACGAGACAGTGACGGCCTTGGTCACGGCGTTGAGCCACTTGCGCGTCGAAGTGTAAAGCGCCCGCGGCGAGAGGAGGAGCTCGGCCAGGCGCTGGATGGTAAAGGGAGTATCATCAAACTCGTACAGCAGGGCCACAATGGTGGCGATCTTGTCGCTGTACGAGTGGCCCCTGCGGGAGTCATCGGTATCGGCCACAGCGGCATAAAAGGCAGCGCCGCGTTCCACAACCACAGCAGCGAGGAGTGATCGGAGGTGTGGCCAGGGAAAGGGCTGCGAGCCAGATGCCGCCACGCCCTGGAGCACACCTGTGACGAGAGCCAGCCACGTTCCATCTTCCAGATCTTCTCCATTGGGCACCGTCTTCTCCACCTGTCGCACCAGTTGAATGGCACTTTTTTCACTCTCGGGAACATTCAACTTCAATTCCTTGCTCTTGCCCCCCTCCTCCGTTTTCCCCTCCATCATCCCACCCATGCCCGTCTCCATCTCTCCTCCTCCTCCTCCTCCGCTGACCACTCGCTCCGCCCGCTCGTGGAAGGCCTTCACTCGCCCTGCAAACGACCGCAGCGGCGGCGCAGGGTGCGGCGTCGCTGCTTCAGTTGTCCCACTTGGTGTGCTCATGTGTGTGTGTGTGTGTGTGTGTAGGGGTGGGGGTGGGGGTGGGGGGGCGGGTGGGGTGGTCGTCGTCAACGTCGTCGTGGTCAGGCCCGTAGTCGTCGTCGTCGTCGTCGTCGTCGTCGTCGCCAAAGTCGCTGTCGCTCAAATCGTCGAGTCACCGAGTCGCCCGAATCACCGCCGGCTCCACCGCCCGCTCGCCGGCTACACCACCCGCCACCCGCCGCCCGCCGCCCGCTCGCCGGTCGCGATCAAAACTTTCTGCTGTAGGGCGGGAGATGCTGCTGATGGTGATGCGGCTGATGGTGTTTGTGGCTGAGGGTGATGCGGTGGAGATCATGGTGGAGCATTCGGTGTGTGTGTGTTACTCATCAAGGTCAAAGTCAGGACCTCCTGGGGCGAGGCCGGACAGCTTGGTGGCGGCAAAGCCAGTCTCCACATACCCGCTGCTCTTCCCATCCGATACGTCCTTCTTGCTCGCCTTGGCCGCCTTCAACTGGCGCACGCTCGCCAGCTCGTCCTCGGAGAGCTCGCTTGCTGGACGCCGTGCGAGGCGGAGGACGGTCTTGGGCACGATCCGGGCATTCTCGAGCGTTACGACCTCTTCGTCGCCGCCTCCGATCACACGACCGGCCTCCGTCCCGCTCTCTACCACCAGCCGTTGGAGCGCAGGCGCAATGTCTGTCCGCTGAAAGACCATCAGGCGAAAGGTGGCCAGAGTCATGTTCGATCCGACCGAGAGCTCCACCGATGACGCCACCGTTCGGACCTGCGGCCCACGCCGCCCGCGCCGCCCGCCGCCCTTGCGCCCGCTCGTCACCTCCCGCTCAAACTTGATCCGCACGTTTGCCTTGTCGTACACAAACTGCGCCGCCTCGATAGCCGCCACACGCGCCTCAGAGCACGCCGCGCACACGGCCTCGCTCGCGGTGGCTCCCTGCGCCAGCGCCACAATCTCACCGACGCTTCCGTGGATGGCTGCGAGCCCCTCCACAAGCTTGGCCTTGACCAGACGGTACACCAGGCCATCATTCTCCGCCGCATGCCACGGCGCGTACGTCAGGCCGCCGTGCTCCTCGCATCGCAGCTCATCAAGCGAGAGCGGGCCTGGGCCCGGCGCACTTGCATCAAGCAGGTACGCCTTCCACGCATGGAGCCACGAGAGCGGAGTCGGAACGAGCTTGCCGCCGCTCGCTGCCGCGCTCTCGCCCACCTGCCACTCGATGTTGCGCCGGCTCTTGGCCCGCTTGCCGCCGGCAAGGAGGGTAAAGACGGCGGCAAACGCACTCCGCTCGTTCGCTCGCACCCCACGCTCAGCCGCCAATGCCTCCTTCACGCTCGCTGCCTCGCCGCGGCACTCGGCGCACGGCTCGGCATCGGCAGATATCATCGTCGGCGGCTGGGCGCTGCGGTCACCCACAAGACCCACAAAGTAGTCCCACGCCATCCGCGAGAGTCGCCGCGTCTTGGACGTCTGCATCTGCAGCTGGCCATGCTCGCACAGGATGTCGATGTTGATCTGCGGCTCGAGGCTCATCAGCGCCTCGTAGCTCTTGGCCGCCCGCCACGCCGTCACCCACGCCCGCGACACCAGCACCGCGTCCGTGTCGGCCCCGCCGGGGTCCAGCCGCGAGGCAATGGCCCGCTTTGCCTCGAGCATTGCCACCTCCTCGCTCTGCTGCCGGCAGGCAGCCTCGACGCACCGCACGCAGAGGTCGTCCTGGGTAAACACAGGCCCGCCGCCGTACGCCGCAAGCAGCGCATCAAACGCCTCGACACTCAGCCGCTTCATCGCCGACGCCCGCTCCGGCGAGACCAGGCCGTGTTCGCACTCGAGTCCCGAATTGTCCATCGGCGGCACCTCGCTGCCGTCAAAGGCAGACGCGAGCTCGCCGAGCCATGCCCGCGACACATACCGCGCCGCTGCGCCCGGCGCGTCGTCGCTTACAGCGGGCGCCCCGATCTCAAACACGTTGCAGAGAAGCTCATTGTGCTTCGCAACCGCAGCCGCGCGGCTCGCGCCCGACTCGGTGGCAAGCAGGCCGGTAGTGTCGACCACCGCCCCGTGGCCTAGCGTTTGCGCAAAGAGCTCATCCGGCACCACAATCCCGGGCACGGTCTCACTCGCCGTCGGTCCGTCGACGCGCTCATAGACCAGCATGTATGCGTTGTGCGACGACGAGGTGCCGGCCGGGGCGGACCGGAGCAGTGCCTTGCCCTTGGCCGAGAGCGATGACGGCGCCTCGTATCCGACCGCGTGCTCCTCGAGCACGCTCACCCGCGAGTCGTTGAACTTCCACCATCGCGCGTCGCCGCTGCGTCCGCGCGCGTGGGTCACGTAGTGCCCGCCGTTGGCAGTTGACCCGATGTGGACGACGACCGCCCGCAGCCGGTACACCCCGCCGACGCCGCTCGCCACGTACGCGCTCATATCGAGCTCGTGCGGAAAGTTGATGACGTAGTGGACTTTCTTCTTGCGGCCCGTCGCCACGTCGTACACAAAGCGCAGCAGCTGGACGTTGAGGACCCGCGGGAGCTCATTGAGGGTGAGGAAGCGCGAGGCGACTTGCTTGCTCTCGCACTGCGAGCAGAGGTACTTGTTGTCACCGTCGAGCGTTTCTGGCGCCAGGTACTGCTCGATGAGCCCGCCCAAGCTCCGCTCCTCGCCCAGCAGATTGAGCTCAATCTCGTAGAACGGCTCGGTCCGCTCGCGATCCGTGCCGCAGCCCTCGCAGACGGTGTGGTAGGCAAGGAGGCCGGCAAAGGTCTCCTCCACAAGATTGCGCACACTCTCCGGTCCGTCGCCGCTCTTGAGAGTGTTGTCCAGAAAGTGTATGAGGAGCTTGAAGAACTCATGGGCGTCCTGCTGGACGCGCGGAGCGAGATCAAGGGCAGAGACAAGGCCCTCTGGCCGCAGCGATACCCGCTTGTCCACCACCAGATGAGCAAGGACAAGCTGGAGCTCGGCGAGAACCGGATTCTTGACTTGGGCGGCCAGCAAGCCGCTGGTAAAGCCTTCGTTCATGAACAAGGTCTGCAACAGCGAGTTCATGTAGCACGTCGCGCCCAGGTTCTCCAAGCCCATAAACGCGATGGCATCACTCCGGACTCGTCCGCACCCACTTGTCCCTCCTGCCAGCTTTGTCTTGTTCGCTGCATTCTTCCCCTTGCCGCCCTTTCCCGCCGACTGGCCGGCCATCGACGACTTGCCGGTCATCGACTTGGGGATGGAGGCCAGATTCATCAAACAATTCGGAGAGGCAGCACAGTTGCCCGCCGAATGACTGGCAATTTTCTCGGACCGATCGACTTGCCCAACTGCCAGCTCACCGCAAGCAGGGCGAGCAAGACGAAAGGCAGCTCGGAGTGTGTCGTCAGTGACTTTGGTATGACTCCGCCAGCTCGTTGTCGACGTCTGCTGACTCGTCCTGCCCGACTGCCCACCGCCACTCGCCCATGCTCCAAAGCTCTGCTGCTGTCGCCGCCCGTTCTTGCGCCGTCGTCGGTTGCGCCGTCCCATGGTGTGTGTGTAGTGGTGGTGGTGGTGATGGTGGTGGTGGTGGTGGGGTGGGGGGGGGTGAAGTGAGAGGAGGGGAGGACAAACAGAAAGATATCGAAGGAATTGGCGGAAGGAATGGAGGGAGGGGTTGGGGGGAGGGGGGGGTTGGGGGGGGGGGGGATGGTGATGGGGGTGATGGTGATGACCATGATGATGATGATGATGATGATGATGATGATGATGATGATGATGATGATGATGATGATGATGATGATGATGATGATGATGATGATGATGATGATGATGACAATGATGATGATGACCATGATGATGATGATGATGATGATGATGATGATGATGATGACCACCATGACCACCATGACCACCATGATCACCATGACCACCAGGACCATGACCACCATGACCACCACAACCATGATGATGATTTTATTGATGTTGAAGAAGAAGAAAATGATGGTGATGATCATGTTGGCAGGGATGGCCATGTTGGTGGAGACGGAGACGGAGACGGGCGAAGACCCCTCCCTCCACCACAGCCACCTTCTGCTTCACTACTGACGGAGCGAGAACAACTACTTGAGATACGAGAGCACCGTGCTGTTGTCGCTGTTGTTCGACTCATCCTCAGACTCGATCAGATCTAGATTGTAGCACCAATCAGTGCCCACGCCTGCAGCGACCGTCATCGCATCGGCTACAGGACTAGCTCGTCTAAGAAGACTCGACTCGCACCCATGGATAATCGGTGGCAGGCAAAACTGCTGGCCGTACATCGCATCCTGCGTCATCAGCCCGGGCAGCACCTCGTTGTACAGCCCCCCAGCTTTGTCCGACCATGTCGGCTGCAGCAGCGTATCCGCACAGGACGCGACGGATGAGGTCGAGCTCGAGTCGCTGCTCGATGGCTCTGCCAGCGGCAAGTCGATGGTCATCATCTCGGCCTTGCGCAACACCACAGCTTCGCCCGCACCACACTCCTCCATCGCTTTCATCGACGTGGTCACATCGTCAATGGTCGGCGCCAGGGCATCTTCGATGGCGCTCACGTCCTTGCCGGCGTATTTGTCCTTGGTTTTCTCGCGGTTGACCTTGGCCTGGTTGGTCTTGTGATACCGAGTGACTGTCTCGCCCATCAGCGTGTTGATCTTGATGCGGTCCCTCTCCGTCTGCTCCAGGGCTCGCGCCCGACGCTTGTCGTCATTCACGTTGCTGGTGGACGAGTTGTCCTCCGATCGCGTGCTCGGCTCAAAGGCGTAGCACCGGGCCATGGCGAGACACATGTTCGGTGTAAGCTTCCGAGCTGCGTACTGTGCCGTCGCCGACCTGTCAGCCATAAGGAACTCCTTCATGCCGCTGTGCACCTCGTCGATGGTCGCCTCACCCTTGCCGCCTGCCGCCTTCTTGATGGCATTTGTCAGGGCTTGCTTCCTCTTGACCCTGGTCGCATTGTCCATGGTGTGTGGGAGAACGACGCTCAGGAAGGCCCGGAATGTGCATCGCTTGCCCCGGTTCTTCCTCCGCCCGCTCGACCCGGTCTTCCTCCCCTCCGCCTCCAACAGGGGCTTCGCCTTGACCATACTCTTTGTTGCTGCTGGATAGCAAGCCTACAAGCCTGCACGAGATCAACCTGCGAGAGAGGTTAAGTATCTCGCGGTAGTAGTAGTAGTACGCCTCTGCCTGCCCTCTCCCATGCTGATGGTGGCGCCAGTATTCTCCGCCGTCACACAAAAATGCACTTTTGCAATTGCAAATGCGTTTTTTTTGGTGTGAAAGGTCATTGCCGCGAACGTTGTCGAGCGAGGGGAGAGCGGTGGGTGCAGGGTGAGCGTGAGCGAGAACGGGATCGAAGATAGGTCAAGGTCAAGGGCAAGGCCAAGGCCAAGATCATGCAGAAGTGCCAGCTCTTCGCAGACCGCGAGTCCGGCAGCGGTCGAGGCGATGGATCGGAGGACCAGCGAACGAGAAAGGGGGCGCATGGACCTTAGGAGAAGCAAGATCAGCACACTAACCCATGCCACTCTACCCTTCCCCCCCCTGTGCCCATCATGGATAGCTTGTGTAGAGCATAGTGATGATGGATGCGGACACTGTAGCTTATGGCTGCTCTCCGCTCTACACACACTGTCAGTCGCAAGCGGTTCATCATCGTCATCGTCTATGGCACCACCATCCAGACCACACATCCACAAGCAAGAAGAATGCCACCACCAGAGAAAAGTAGCCCATCTCATCACCAATAGATCCTCTCATAGCCCCCCCCCCCCCTCTCCCTCTCTCACAACAACCGGAACATTCCGTGCGCATGGAACCATGCCTCCACAGATTTTTTCTCCTCTTCTTCCTCCCTCTCTCCCCCTCCCTTCTCCTTCCCGTCGTCCTCCTACCCCTAGTTCATCCTTCTGACCACTCTTCAACCCTCTCACCACTATTCATATGTACGTACTCATGATTGCGACAACCTTTTAACCTCTTCATGCTCTTGTGTCATCCTCTTTGTTGCCATGTTGTCCATGTGGGAGATCAACGCCTTCATGAAGGCGCATTTTTTCTTTTTGGATGTCAAAACTCGCTCTCTTTCTCCCTCCTCCCCACCCTCTCTCCACACACCATCAGTCTCTATCAACCCAACCATGGCTTCTCACACTGCTGGCGCATCTGTCGGCATTGATCTCGGGACCACATACTCGTGCGTCGGCGTGTGGCGCAACGATCGCGTCGAGATCATCGCCAACGAGCAGGGCAACCGGACGACGCCATCGTATGTCGCCTTTACCGACGCCGAGCGACTCATCGGTGACGGCGCCAAGCTGCAGGCTGCCATGAACGCCAAGAACACAGTCTTTGATGCCAAGCGCCTCATTGGCCGCCTGTTTGCCGACTCCACTGTGGCGGCCGACATGGCCTCGTGGCCCTTTGCCGTTGTCGAGCACGAGGGCAAGCCCATGATCGAGGTCGAGTTCCGCGGCGAGACCAAGGTCTTCTCGCCGGAGCAGATCTCGTCCATGGTCCTGACCAAGATGAAGCGCGTTGCCGAGGCATACCTCGGCGAGGACGTGGGCAACGCGGTTGTTACTGTCCCTGCCTACTTTAACGACGCCCAGCGGCAGGCGACCAAGGACGCCGGCGCCATCGCCGGCCTCAACGTTCTTCGCATCATTAACGAGCCGACCGCCGCCGCCATCGCCTATGGCCTCCACCACGAGGGCGCTGAGAAGAACGTGCTCATCTTTGATCTGGGCGGCGGCACCTTTGACGTCTCAGTCCTCACCATCGACAACGGCATCTTTGAGGTCAAGGCCACCGCTGGCGACGCCCATCTCGGCGGCGAGGACTTTGACGCCCGCCTTGTCAACCACTTTGTCCGCGAGTTCAAGCGCAAGCACCGTGCCGATGTCACCGGCAACGCCCGGGCCATGCGCCGGCTACGATCTGCTTGCGAGCGCGCCAAGCGCACACTCTCGGCCTCGACCAACGCCTCCATCGAGATCGACGCCTTCTACGAGGGCGTCGACTTCTACTCGTCCATCACCCGCGCCCGCTTTGAGGAGCTCAACCACGACCTCTTTGCCAAGTGCATCGGCCCTGTCGAGCGGGCGCTGACCGACGCCAAGCTCGCCAAGGCCGACATCCACGACATTGTTCTCGTCGGCGGATCCACGCGCATCCCACGTGTCCGCGCCCTCCTTGCAGACTACTTTGCCGGCCGCGCGCCGTCGCAGGGGATCAATCCGGACGAGGCTGTCGCCCACGGCGCTGCTGTCCATGCCGCCGTCCTATCGGGCGCGAGTGACACCAGCGGAAAGCTCGCTGAGCTCCTTCTCCTCGACATGACCCCGTTCTCGCTCGGGCTGGAGACCGCTGGCGGGCTGATGACCAACCTCATCCCGCGGAACACAACCATTCCCACCAAGAAGACCCAGATCTTCTCCACCTACGCTGACGATCAGCCGGGTGTGCTCATCCAGGTCTTTGAGGGCGAGCGGGCGCAGACAGCGGACAACAACCTCCTCGGCAAGTTCGAGCTCACGGGCATCGCGCCCATGCCGCGCGGAAAGCCGCAGATCGAAGTTGTCTTTGACATCGACGCCGATGGCATCCTCAACGTCTTGGCCCAGGACAAGTCGTCGGGCCACAAGCACTCGATCAAGATCACCAACGACTCGGCTCGCCTCTCCAAGGACGACATCGATCGCATGGTGGCCGAGTCGGAGAAGTACGCTGCAGAGGACGACATCATCCGCCGCCGCATCTCGGCGCGCAACGACCTCGAGGCCGCCGTCTTCTCCCTCCGCACTGCCGTGAGAGACGGTACCGTCTCTGCTACCGAGCCGGACAAGGCCAAGATCTCTGCCAGGATCGACGAGGCCATTGCCTGGCTCGACGCCAACCAAGATGCCGAGCGAGAGGAGTTTGAGGCTCAAGCTAAGGAGCTCCACGCCTTTGTCGACTCCATCGCCGCTGCTCCGGCTGCTCCCACGCCCGTCGTCAACGAGTCCGAGCTTGACTGAGTGGCCCCACTGCATGCAGCCGTTTTCCCAAGCATTTTCCCCCGCGCGCTAAAACCAACATTACCATCGTCATCACGGCTCACTTAGCCTGATGCCGGGACAAGCACGCCACCCATAATCACAGCAATGAGTGCGAGATCGGCGTCGAGGAGGAGTACGTCGCCCATGGCGCCGACAGCAAGGCGGCCGACATGGTCTGCGCCGACAATGTCTGCGGGCGTGGTAGCGCAAGTGCGGACGGCGTCGTCGAGCGCAATGCCGAGCTCGTTGACGAGGAGGCGAACCGTATCAAGGAGGGCACTGCACGAGCCGGCGATGACTGGGGCAGCGTCCGTGTCGCCGCTGGCGAGCACGACTGCCGGCGTGGAGCAGCCCGGGACCGAGCCGATGGCCACCCGACGGCCGCAGTACGCGTGGTCGCCGACAGCCGACGGAGTGAGGATCGAGTCGGAGATCCAGGCGAGCGAGGTCGGTGGGCGGATGGTGGCGAGGGCGTGCATGACTGTCGGATGGAGGTGGAGGCCGTCGCCCACGGCCTCGGCTGTCGGCATCGGGACGTGGGCCAGGCTTGGCGGAAGGCTTCGCATGAGCGCGAGGTTGCCCAGCGATGGGAGCCGATGATGAAAGGTCTGCACGTTAAAGACATGGGTGAGATGGCAGCGGGATGGGGCGGCGGCCTCGAGCGCGCCGATGACCTGGTCCCACTGCGCGCTGCGGTCGTGTCCAAGCGCCGGCACCACTCCGCGCTTGACCATCGCTGCGATTCCCGCATACCCAGACACTGCGTCTGCCGACGGCGCGATGGTCATGACCTTGACAGCAATCCCTGCCTCTTCTGCTGCGTCCAACACCCGTTCCACAGCCGCCGCGCTCTCCCTTGCCCACGCCCGCTTGCCCGGATCAGGCAGCCCACCCGCATCTGCTACCACAGGGCCCTCGGCATGCACGCCCAGCACCCGCGCGCCCATCCAGCTTCGCTCCGCCTTGCCGATCCCCGCCCGCACCGAGTCGCCCGCCCGCACCGAGTCGCCGGCCTCGGCCAAGTCGCCCGCCCGCACCGAGTCGCCGGCCTCGGCCAAGTCGCCCGCTCGCACCGAGTCGCCGGCCTCGGCCAAGTCGCCCGCCCGCACCGAGTCGCCGGCCTCGGCCAAGTCGCCCACGCCCGCCTTGCTCGCCTCGCCCGCCCCCCGCCCCTCACCGGCAGCACGGGCCAGGGCACACAGAGCGGCGCAGGTGGCGTCCCACCTGTGGGTGGGAAAGGTGAGCGAGGGGACGACCGAAGTAGTGCCTGCGGCGGCGAGGCGTGCGAGCGAGGGCTCCGGCACGGCCCATGCCTCCACCACGTCGGCGCATCCGTCGCCGTCGCCCGTCAGCCCGTGCGTGTGCATGTCCACAAGGCCCGGGATGGCTACCGCGGCGCGGAGGACAGAGAGCGAACAGCCAGAGGCAGCGGCTGTGGCTTTGGCGGCAGACACGGCGGCGATCACGGCAGAGGCAGATCCAGCCGAGTCGATCTGCACAATCCGCCCACTCGTGCTACTGATCGTCACTATGCACGCTTTGTCCGTCTCGCACAGAGTGCCGTCGTGACTCCTTGAGCCGCCTTCGCCCGTCTCATCATCGACGGGGGCGTTGTCGGCGTCGGCGTCGGCAAAGTGATGGCGGACGTGCCGCTGGCCGTGCCGCCGGTCGTGGTCGGCGTGGTGGCCATCGGCTCGGCGAGGACAGCTCTCTTAGCAACGATGCAAAGCCATGGTGCTACATGTCGGCCGCTAGATAAAGGTGGGACAGTTCCCGGTGCTGATGCCGACATGAGGAAGGAGGGGAGGGACGAGAGGAAGATCCCTGACGCTTATATATTCCCCGTGGAGTGGAGAGTCAAGTGCGCTCGCTGTGGACCACCTCCCCGCACACATACCCCAGGCGACCTCTATTGGAGCCTGTAATTCAAGCATGGGCACACGTAGGCTTCTACACAACCCTGTCCCTACCCCCAAAGCCAGCGATACACCCATGTGCAGTCGGAAAAAAAATCTCCCAAACAGACCTCACATATGTACGCCAACCAGCACTCTGGACGCCACCTCTTTCGATCTCCAACCACAGCTCATCCCCAACGGCCCTTCGCTATCCCAATTCTACCCTCCTTGCCTTCATCAAGCACTCTCTCTCTCTCTCCATCAACCTCTCCCTCTTTTTCCGTCGCCCGTCTCTACCGAGCCGCCAAAAAATCCGCACCGCCACCGCCACCATCCCCACCATCCACACCATCCATACCAACCCCACACCGTCCCTCCCCCTCAATACGCATTCCTACCTCTCATCCCCCCCCCCCCCCCTCCCACTGCCACTCCACCCCATCCACCCCACCCTCCCCTTGTCCAACACAAGCCATGGGATGAGCCAGTTACCGCAAAGTCCCGCAAAAAATAATTTCAATCCGCCAAACCCACGCTGCACTCGCCACTCCGCACCCGCCGCACCCCGCCGCACCCCGCCGCACCCCACCACACTCAGCACCCCACCTACCCCCGGACACACCCCTCTCCCCCAGCACCACTCGCCACATCCAGAACGAGGAAATGGCTCACGTCAGCGCAGTTCTCGTCTTGGCGGTGGTCATCGTCGGTGTCTCGGTCGTGACGGAGCGGACGGATGCGACGGACATTTCGTCGTACCAAGCAGCGGTGGATACGCAGACGACGGTGAATGTGGTGGAGACGGGCCTGACATGCAACACGGCGCTCGAGTTTTCGTCTACGGGCAGCGATCTTACCATCAATGGGCTCAACTTTGCGTGCGGACTCTCTTCGGTCGTGCCCATCGTCATCTCCGCCACCGGGAGGAGTATCACCTTTAATGATGCTGTCTTTGCCCCGGGCAACGTGGTCGCCATCTCCAACACGGCCTCGTCCAATACCATCACCTTTACCGGATCGTCGTCTATCTCGGGTTCGGGAGGTACCTCTGGCGCTGTCTATCGCGACACGGCGTCGGTCTCGGGCACCACCCTCGTCCTCTCCGGCCTCACCATCACCAACTTTGCCACGTCTGCTAACCTCTTTGACATCGCCTCGTCTACCATGGCCATCAGTGCCACGGGCTTGTCGCTCAACGCCAACGTCGTCGCATCGGTCTTTGCTCTGGCCTCTTCGTCGACGACTACGCTCACCGCCGCCTCCATCACCACCCTCACCGGCTCGCTCAACGCCGGCGCCTTGGTCCACGCCACGTCGGCCGCCACAGGCACCTTTACCATCGATGGCGGGTCGGTCGTATCAGGCATCCGCGGGCGGACGCTGTTCGAGTCGACGGCGTCCGGCTCGTTTGTCTTTGCCCTGGCAGGTACCACCGCCGTCTCCGACACCATCATGTGCGCCGGCTCCATCGCCCGCCTCTCGCCCGCCGCCATCGCCGGTGCCGTCACCGTCGCCGGCACGGTCTCGCTCACCAGCACCACCTCGCTCACCGCCGATCACGCCGACGGATCGCTCCCGCTAGGCGCGGTCTTCCTCAATGGCGCCGCGAGCACGGCCGCAGCCTTTGCCTCGCCCTCCACCACCAACGTCGGCATCTTCCCGCTCGCCTGCGCTGTCTACGCCAGTCTCCCGGCGGTGGCCTCTGTGGCGGGCCTCCAGGTCCTTGTCGACGACTCGGCCGCGATCTCGCCGCTCACCATCCCCCCGCTCACCTACACCGGATGCGGCTCCGATGGCGTCGTCGTCTCGGGCTCCACCGCCCGCTCGTGGACCATGACCGGAGCCACCATCGACTGCGCCGGCGCTGGCCGCGCCATCACCGTTTCGGGCCTCTCGGCTCCGTTGGCCATCACCGATGGCACCCTCACCAACGGTCTGCAGACATCGTCGCCCGGCGGGCTGTTCCAGGCTCTGAATGCAGCTGCGCCGATTAGCCTGACGGGCACGGCCTTTGCCACCGCCACCAGCACATCGGGCGGCTGTCTCGCCTTTTCCGGCGGCGGCGCCGCCATGAACCTCACTTCGGTCTCGTTCACGGCATGCACGGCGTCTGCCAACGGCGGCGCAGTGGACTACGCTGTCTCGGCCGGATCGAGCGCCTCGGTCTGGACCGGCGTCACCATCACCACAAGCACCGCCACATCGGGCAACGGCGGCGGGCTGGCCATCGCCCTCACACCCGCCCACACCCTCACCCTCGACACGACCTCGATCACCTTTTGCGATGCCGGGAGCAACGGTGGCGGGCTGCACGTGGCCGGCGGCGGACTCGCGCTCAACACTGCCACCATCAACAACAACGTGGCTGGCGGCGATGGCGGATGCGTCTCCCTCGACGACGCGCCGCTCACCTTTTCCGCCGTCAACATCGACGACTGCCTCGGCAACCGAGGAGGCGCCTTTGCCGTGGCTGGCGCAAGCAGCGTGGTCCAGACGCCGGGCTTCTCGCGGTTCCAGAACAACATCGGGTGCGAGGCGTCGTTCATGCTCATCGCCGGGCCATCGGTCTTTGTCAACATCTTCCACTCCTTTGAGAGCAACTTGATCTCGTTTGGCTCGTCGGACACGGCCAGGTGGATCTTTGGCGAGCTCTCGTTCACGCCTGGTGCGTCACTGAGTGCATCGTCGAGCGTGCCGTCGATCGACATGTCGTCCATGCTCATCGATGACGGCTCGCCATGCAACGCGGTGCGCGGCTTTGCCATCCCTACCGCCGCCACGTTGGCGGCCGCCATCACCGGCGGGACGGTCACGTCGCTCACGCCGGGCACCTACCTCGGAACGCTCTCCATCTCGGCATCGCACACCGTCGACCTCACGGGCTTTACCGTCAATCGGCTCTCTCTCTCCACCTCAGGCACGGTGGACATCACCGGGCTGCGGGTCCGGTTTGGAGCGGCCTCGTCCGGCGGCTGCGTCTCGATCTCCAGCGTGGGCGTCACCGCCAGCTTCCACAACGTGCACATCGCCCACTGCTCGTCGTCAGCGTTTGGCGGCGGCGTGCTGGTGCGGTCGACAGGCCAATCGCCGATGGTCACCTTTGACGCCGACTGCACCATCTCGGACGCCTTTGCCGACGACGGCGGCGGAGCCATCTACCTTCGCCACAGCGGCGGCGGCACGCCCATCGTCACCTTTCTGGGCACCATCACGAGATGCTCGTCCACCTCGTCAGCGGTGGTGGGCATGGACACGAGCACAGGCACCCTCACCCTCGGTCCAGGCGCCGTCATCCAGGACTCGACCTCCATCGGCGGCGCCATCGAGTCGTTTGGCGGCGGCTCGCTCGTCGTCAACAGCGTCACCATCCGGCGCCACAGCGGATACGGCACCGGCGATGGCTCGCTCATCTCGCTCAGCAGCACCGGTACGGCCGTCGTCACCGGCTCGACCTTTGTCGACTCGGTCACCGGCCGGGCCGCGCTGTACATCGCGTCGGGCACGCCGGGCCTGACCGTGACCGGCACGAGCTTCACCCGCATCCGCGGCTGCCTCGCCTCGGTCCTCTACATCAATCCGGCGGCATCACCCGCACCGCCCGTCACCTTTGACGCCGGCTGCGCCTTTACCGACAACGTGGCTCACGTGGCCGATCCGTCGTCGGCCTTCCCGCTGGGCGAGATCTCCGACCCAAGCGGGATCCGCACCGTGACGTCGGGAGCGTCGAGCTCTGGCTCACGGGTTGTCCACGCGCCGTGCACCAACATGGCGGTGACGTCGGCTGTGCCGGACTCGTCCATCCCGCTCCTGCAGACGTATCTGGACTCGCTCCCGCCATCGCCGCCCGGGCCCATCACCTTTGCCCCGACGGTCTTCTCCGACTGCTCCGTCCCGCTCCGCCTCTCCTCCTCGCTTCCTCCCGGCATGGTCATCGACTTTACCTCGGTCACCTTCAACTGCGCCACGGCCCAGACCCAGGTCATGACCATCATCGACTCGCCCGGCATCACCGTCAGCAACCTCGCCGTCGACGGCAGCCTCTCGGCGGGATCGGCACTGGCCACATCAGGCGGCTGCGTCGTCGTCAACGGCACCCTCTCCGGTCCGGTCGTCTTCAACGGTCTCTCGCTCTCCAACTGCAACGTCTCGGCCGGCGCAGCGAGCTCGGGCCAGGCGCTGACGTTGGCGGCGGTGGGCGCGCGGATCTCCATCAACAACGGCGTCCTGACCGCCCGTCCCGATCGCGAGTCTGTGGCCGCTGGCGGCGGTGTGTACATCGGCGCGCCGCCGGGTGTGGGCCGGGTCGACGTGGTGTGGTCCGGCGGGAGTGTCAGCGGCTTTGCCGCCGAGCTCGGCGGCGGCATCTTTGCCACCAACGCCGACGTCTCCCTCGCCGATCTCACTGTCACCGACAATGTGGCGAGCCTCGGCTCGGCGGTGGCGGTCGGCCTCGGCGCCACCGTCAACGTGGCGTCATCGGCGCTGACGTCCAACTCGGCGCGCAACGGCACGATCTACATCGCCGAGCTCACGACGGCCGAGCTGGCTATGGGCTGGACGGCTCCCGGCGCGCTCGTCATGACCAACACCACCGTCCGGCAAAATCGGGCGTGCTACGGGTGCCTCTTGGCCTCGGGCCGGGCAGCTAGCGCGACACCAGGCAGCGCGACGGTGACCCACGGCATCATCGTCCACAATCTCGCCACCAGCGCGGTGGCCAACCTGTCCTCGCCGCTCAACGCGTTGCTGGATGCAGACCGCGGGGCGGCGAACCCGACGATCGACGCCGGCGCCTTTGGCATCGGTAATCGTGTCGAGCCTGCGCCGTGCTCGCTGGCGCGCGGCGGGGCACCGACGGAGCGGGCCTTTGTCCGCGTCCGCATCGACGGATGCGTCTCCGGCTGCATCCTCGGTCCGCAGGGCGGGACGGTGGTGGTGGGCGGCGAGGGCTTCCGCGACGGCGACGTCTCAGTGTCCATCAACGGCAACGTGACCAAGGTGGAGATGTCATCGGCACGGGCGCTGGTGGTGACCGACACATCGGTCCAGTTTGACGTGCCCGGAGGCCTCGGCGACGGCTATCCGTCGATTACGCTCAACGTGTCGGCGACGTCGATCTCGCTGACCGGCCTGGTCTACGTCGACTTGTCGGGCGCGGTTGCGGCCGACTGCGTCCGCATCGGTCAGTACTATGCCGATGGGCAGTGTAAGTCGTGCCCCGAGGGCGGGTACTGCCCCGGCGGCGTCCGCATCTGGCCACTCCGCGGCTACTGGTCGCCGAGCGAGCGGAACGCGCCCGGGCGATGCACGCTGGAGGAGGCGTGCTGTGGCGCCATGGGCGCGGTGGCGGCTTGCCCTGTGGTGCTGCACGACTCAGGCGCGCGAGTCACGGCGCGATGTGACGAGGATCTTGGCTACACCGGCCGGTACTGTGCCGAATGCCGCGAGCCTGACTTCTACTCGGACGCCGGGGTGTGCCGGGCGTGCGAGCGGGGCGATACGGCCGAGCTCGCCGTCCTGGTTCTGGCGGCGCTCATCCTCATCGGCCTGGTCACCCTCGCGGTGGCGCTCCTCTCGGTCGTCCGCATGTCGTCGTTTGTCTCGATCGTCCTCTCGCTGCAGCAGTTTGTGTTTGTGGGGAGGACTACGAGTGCGCGGATCTCGGGCGATGCGGGCAAGACGCTCTCGGACATCTTCCGCGCGCTCTCCTTCATCCTCTTTGACGTCGAGTTTGTCAAGCCAAACTGCTACTTTGCCAGCGCCGGCTCATCCAACTTTGCCCGTCTCTTCTGGGGCACCCTGGTCCTCGTCGCCCTCGCCGCCGTCCTCTTTGTCGCCGCCGCCTGGGTCTACGCCGTCATCGGCCATCGCCTTGTCCTCCGCCGCAACAAGTCCAAGACGCCAGAGGCGGGCGATGGCTCGGGCAACGACGATGCCATGACCGGCGTGGTGATGGAGAGCATGGCCAGCACGGAGAGCGGCGAGAAGGATGAGGATGAGGATAAGGATGAGGAGGAGGAGGAGGAGACAGGCTCGGCATCGACCGCGACCAGCTCATCGACGGCGAGCATGCCAAGCAAATCGATGAGCTCCAGCTCTAGCAGCTCCAGCGGCAGTAGCGGCGGCAGCAGCAGTGGGAGCTCGTCGCGCGCGAGCAGCATCGTGCCGGCGAAGACCGTGGACGACATCGAGTCGCTGACAAGCGGCGAGGACGAGACCGAGCCGCGGACGAGAGGCGAGCGATGGGCGCGACGGGCACGGGTGTCGATTGTGATGCTCCTGGCGGCGGTGTACCTCCAGATCACGCTCCGGGTCATCAACGCCTTCCACTGCACGACGGTGAACGGATCTGCACGGCTCGCGGTGGAGCTCTCGACCGAGTGCTTCCAGGGCGCACACACGGCGACGCTTGCTGTGGCCATCCTGCTCGCGGCGATGTACTTGGTGGCGTTCCCGGTGGTGGTGCTCTGGCTGATGTATCGGGCGTACGGGGCAAACGCCGAGGCGATGGCCGAGCTCAAGGGCGGCGCGTTTGCCTTTCTGGTCCGTGGCCTGCAGCCGGGCGTGTTCTGGTTCCGCGTGGCGACGCTGGTGACGAGCGTGGTCCTTGTGCTCGAGACGGTGCTCATCGCGGGCACGTCGGTGCGGATCATGGTGGTCGGCCTCAGCCTACTGGTCAACGTTGTCCTCATCAGCCTCTTCTGGCCCTTCAAGAGCACGCACAACAACCTCTTCCAGCTGACCATCGGCATCGGCTCGTCGGTCCAGCTCGTCATCTTTGCCGACTCGGACGGCCTTGACGGCGGCAAGTCGACTATCCAGCGCAACGTCCTCCTCTCGTTTGTCATCATCGTCAGCGTTGGCGTTGTGGCCTGGCGATCTGCGCTCTACCTCCGGCGACGAGCCGAGGGCCGGGTCGACAAGAGCGAGGTGTCCGACATCGACCGTATGTAGCCATGATGATGATGATGATGATGATGATGATGATGATGATGATTGAGATGGTGGGAGTGGGGGGGAGTGGTGGTGGTGGGGGGGGGGGGGGGTATGGTGGTGGTGGTGATGATGGTGACGACCATGATGACGATGACCATGATGACGATGACAATGACGATGACAATGACGATGACCACCATGACCATGATGACCACCATGACCATGATGACCATGACCATGATGACACCATGACCATGATGACCATGATGACCATGATGACCATGACCATGATGACCATGATGACCATGACCATGATGACCATGATGACCATGATGACCATGATGACCACCATGATGACCACCATGACTATGATGACGATGACCATGATGACCACCATGACCATGATGACCACCATGACCATGATGACCATGACCATGATGACCACCATGACCATGATGACCACCATGACCATGATGACCATGACCATGATGACCACCATGACCATGATGACCACCATGACCACCATGACCACCATGACCACCATGACCACCATGACCATGACCATGATGGCATCAGTCACACTGACCATGATCCCCCCCTCCCCTCCCCTCCCACCCCCCCTCCCCTCCCCTCCCACCCCGTCACCTGTCACCCCTCCACGACATGAACCCCTTCGCCACCCCCACCCCCACCCCCACCCCCCCTCCCCCCTCCACAGCCCTCAACCCCTTCGCCACCCCCTCCCCTCCCCCCTCCCCTCCCCCCCTCCCCCTCCCCCCCTCCCCCTCCAATGCTCCCCCTCCTCCCCCTGCCCTGCCCTCGCCTCGGCCCTCGCCACCATCACCGCCCTCACCGCAGACCTCTCCGCACGCCATGCCACCATCACCGCCCTCACCGCAGACCTCTCTGCCCGTGATGCCACCATCACCGCCCTCCGCACACGCCTCCGATCCGCCTCGTCTCGCTCCGCCTCGTCTCGCTCCGCCTCGTCTCGCTCCGCCTCGTCTCGCTCCGCCTCCTCTCGCTCCGCCTCGTCTCGCTCCGCCTCGGCCTCTGCGGCCACTCCCAATCCGGTGCCGGCGGCGGTGGCGGCGGTCTTGGCGGGCGCTCCGCTTGCTCTTCGCGCTCTGCCGTCGCCGGCGGCAAAGGCTGCGCTGCTCACCGCTCTGGCTGATCGCTGTGCCGGTCATGCTGTGATCGATGTGCTGGCTGGGGAGCGGGCGTCGTTGACGGCGGCGGCGTTCTACGATATGCTCGCTGCCGCTCCTGCAGCCGTCCCCTACTACCTGGCCCATCTCCGCGCCGTTGGCGCGTACCCGGAGCTGATTGCCGCCACCCGCGCCCTGCTCCCACCGCCGGCCTCGGCATGGGCCCTCCTCCGCGCTGCTCTGGCCGCCCCGCCCGATCGCCGCCTGCCGGCGCTGGAGGCTGCTGCAAAGGCTGCTGCTGATCCGGCCGCCCGCGAGTCGCCGCGCGGCTTCCTCCGCTCGTCTATCGCTGCTCAGATTGCGCTCCTCCGCATCCAGGCCAAGGTCCAGAAGATGGATGCTGCCGCCGCCGCTGGCAGCAACCCGCCGCCCATTCTGCTCCGCTTCCCACCGCGCCCGCTCCTTGGCCGCTCTGTCTACGCCACTGCCCACTACCTGCTCTTCTACCACCGCGCCGCGCCCGACGACTCGGTCGCCTCGCCGCGCGCCTTGGCTGCCGCCCTCGCCCTCTCGCCGGCGGCCTACATGCGCAAGTCGGCCCTTGCCGCCGCACAGATCGGCGACTGGGAGCTGCTGCGGAGCCTGGCCTGGGCCGGCGCCGACTACCACGCCGCCCGCAAGGCACTCGCCAAAAACCCGGCCAAGGCTCGCCGCCGCAAGCCCAAGTCGGTCATCGGCTGGGAGCCCTTTGTCGCCGCCGCCGTCGCCCACGACGCCCCGCCCGACCTCGTCGACTACTTCCTTGGCCTCATCGCTGACCCAGAGGCCCGCATCAAGCTCGCCACCCGCTGCAAGCACTGGGCCGTCGTCGCCCGCACCTTGGAGTCGCTCGCCGACCTCCACCGCCTCCGCCAGCTCCGCGCCTTTATCATCCGGAAGCACGGCCGCTTTGGCGACGTCCGTCTCCTCGATCTTGTCGACGGCGCCCTTGCCCGGCTGGGCACATGACGGTCCGCCTGCCCGCCTGCACTTTGCTCATTGTTTACCACTGTGGCTGACATCGGCAGTGCCGAGCCGGGCAAGGTCTGCGGGGCTGGGACGCGACTCACAGCAGCGCGTCGTCCCGCACCATCTCCACCACCACCTCGCCGGCAATCTCCTTCACCAGCCCGCCCACCATCGCCTTGCCCACCCACGTCTCGAGGAAGGCCTGGATTTTGGGCATGACCATGCGGAACACGCCGCTGCCGCTCTTCGAGTTACCGGCGCTCGTCCCGAACCCACCCACCACCACCAGGATCGAGTTGATGAGCGCTGTCGCCGCGCCACCGCCGCGGAACGCGCTCACACCGAGGAAGATAAAGGCGAGAATGATGGCCAGGAGGAGGACGGCCACGCCGAGACTCACTGCAAGCTGCGTGTCGCTCACGCCAAACACGCTCTTCACCCGCTGCTTCATCGCCACGCTTGTCGCATCTGCGCACTTGTCACGCAGCTCGCTCTCCTCCACAGTCGACGACCGCCCCGCAGTCTGGCTCTTCACCTCGGCCACCACATCGTCCACAATCACCGCAAAGCCACGGTTGAGCTTCTCGTCTACAGACGACAGCATCCGCTTCCCTCCCTCCACAACCTGCGTCGTTTTGCCGAGCACAGAGTTGAGCGTCCGGATGGTGGACTGCGAGTTGCTCAGGATCTTGCCCACAAGCTCCTCCGCAACCTCTCGGTACGGCGCAAGGACTTCGGACTCGAGCACGCTTCCGCCAGACTCCATCTCCTTCTTGGCCAGGGCGGGGACCTCGGCGAGGAGCGCCCGCCACTGGCCCACAAGCGCTGCAACCACCTCGCCTCGCTTCCCGGCGCCCTTCTTCACCATCAGCCGCGCCCACGCCACAACGCTCGCAACCGCCTCCTGCACGCTCGCAATGCCCACGCTCGCGCCCACAAGCAGCGCTTCCACAAATCGCGGGCCGAGCTCCGGCGCTGCCAGGAACCGCACGAGGTACACCAGCGCCTCTTCAGAGCCCTCTGCCGCCTTGCGTGCACTCGCCGCAACAAGCTCGCCGATGAGCTGCCCGAGCTTCCGCTCGGCCATGCTCTCATCGAGCCCGGCGACTGCAGCCTTGATCACACCGGACCGTGGCGCAAAGACCGGGCCTAGCGGCCCGTTGAGCAGAACACCGTCCACCACGCCCTCGACGTACGCCTGCACCCCGAGCCCACGGAGTCCGAGCCCGCGCGCCACAAGCGACGCTCCGCCTGCCCCAGCAGCCTTGTTGGCCCCGGCGCCAGACTTGGCCACGGGCGCCACCACTTGCGACACCCACTTGCCCGACGCGCGCGCCACGGCCTCCATCGTCTCCACCTTGATCGCCGCCCTGCCCACGTCGTCGCCAAAGAACGACCGCACAAAATCCAGCGGTCTCCACCGCCGCCCCTCGCCGCCGCTCTCATCGTCGCCGTCGGCGCCGCCTACCTCGGACAGCACACGCTGAGCAAACTGCGCCACAATTCTTGGCCAGCTCTTCACCACAATCTGCGCGCTCCTGCTCTTTCGCGCCGCCACAAGACTCGTCAGCATCGCCGCCGGACTGGTTGACGACACCATCATCCGCAGCACAGGCTCGCACACAACATCCAGCACGTACGACGCCACAAACGCACGCTCGTAGTAGTCCTCACCGATCGACTCGGAGAGCTCGCCTCCGAGTACCTCGACGGCTTCGTCCACGCGCTCGCCCGACCGCCGCAGCGCCAGCACATCCTCGCTCCGCCGCGACGCAACAGCCTCCATGCCCTTGGCCACAATCGCCATCAGCCGGCTCATCATCGCAGCGCCGCCGGCCTCGCCACCGTCCTTCAGGCTCTGCAGCACGCCGTCCTCCAGAGCTCGCGCCGCCATGACAAACACGCCTTCGCTTCCCTCCTCCATCGCGTCCTCCACCGCGGCCCGGAGCCCGCTCACCACAGCCGCGAGCACCTCGTTGACCTTGCTGCCACCTTGTCCGCCGCCGCTCGCCTCCTTACACAGCCGCAGCACTTGATCGACCACGTCCTCGTCATCCTCGGCGTCCGGCGAGCCACCGACAAACGTCTCTAGTCCGCCGTCGGCCATCCAGCCATACACAGGCTCCAGCCAGCTGGCCACATCCTCGCCGCTGGCCAGGACATCCTCAAGCGCCTCGTGCTGCAGCATCTCTTTCACCACGTCCCGCACTCGGTCGTGCATGGCGTTGAACAGCTTTCGCAACGAGACCACGCTCGCGTTCTGCTGCGCCACAACGCTCACGTTCCGAAGCGCAGCCTGCCCGATACCGGCCAGCAGCGTCTCGGTTGCGTACTCGACCAGCGCCTCGCCTGCAGACTCCAGAAAGCCCACAAGCAGCTCCTCTGCCAGGCCCTCGACCTGCGACACAAACGTCACCACGTTCTCGGTCGCGCCTTCCAGGAAGCCGCGGAGCGACGTCTCGCTCCCTCCGCCCTCCAGCCACCCAAGCACAAGCCGGAGCACAAACTGTTCCACAGCCGCAGGCGCTTGCTCCCGCGCACGCGCCACAGCATTCTCCACCCGCATCACAAACTTGCTCTTCATCAGCTTGAGCACGCCGTCGTGGACCTGGTCAAACACGTAAAAGTAGTTGAGCACAAGGCCCTCCTCGGCATCCCATCCCTGGTCGTTGGCCACGCCTACCACATGGCCCTGGATGCCGGACACAAGCGTCTCGCGCGAGAGGCCGACCATCGCAGCGCGCTTGACAATCTCGCCAACCTCGCTCCACACATCGGGCGCTTGCCTCAGCAGCTGCCCCTGCAGCTCCAGCAGCGCCTCCGTTTGGCTCGCAGCCGCAGCCGCGAGCGGCGAGACAAGCCCGCCGAGCAGCACCTTGTGCGGCGCCACAACCAGCGAGCAAAGCTCTGCAGCGAGCGCCTGCATCAGGCCGCGCACGTCAACCCAGGCAAACACGCGCCGCAGCACAACGTCGCCGTCGGCGCCCGACTCGAGTAGGCCGCCCACAGCCTGAACGCCGCGCCACACAGACCGCGGCTGCCGCACGAGCCCCTGCAGCCGCAGCCGCAGCGATCGCAGCACAGAGAGCACCATCGCCTCCTGCGAGTGCAGCCCGTCCACAACCTTGCTCGCTGCAAGCCCAAGGATCTGGTTCACAAGCACAAGCGGCGACGCACTCACAAGCTCTTGCACAAACTCGAGAACAAGTGGCAGCACAGCCTTCCACGACGCCGTCGCTGCAGACGTCGGAATGAGGACAAGGTCAAAGACCTCGCCCACAAGCCCGGGTAGCAGCTCACCAAACACGTAGTCGCTCACTTCGCCCAGCAGCCCTTCCACGAGATCTTTGGCGGCCGTATACGCGCCCTCGGCCTCTTGGTACGCCTCCAGTGCCGCAGGCATCGCCTCGTCGTACCGCATCACCTCCTCCACGCTTCCGCCAACACGCTCCATCACCTCGGTCGACGCAAACTCCAGACGTCCACGTACCTCACGTCCCATCCGCCGCACCTCCCGCCCGGTCACCGCAAGTCGCCGCAGCTCCTCGCCAACAACCGCCCACGCCCGCTTGGCCAGCTGGGCACCCAGGCTTTGGTCTTCGTCCACCGCAGCAACAGCGCTCCGCCAGAACCCGCGCAGCGTCTGCTGCACAAAGTCAAGCAAGTCCAGCATCCGCTCTTCCAAATCGCCGAGCACCTCGCTCGCGCTCTGCTCAATGTCGAACCCGCGCGGGCCAAGAGACTCAGAGAACGGGAAGAACACAGCCTTGATGGCATCCACAACAACCTGCTCCCATGCTCCAGATGCCCCACTCACGTCCGCAAACTCGAATGCCTCAGACTCGTGCCCAGAGCTCAGCAGCCGCCCCGTGTCGACGCGGCACTCGTTGAGCACCTGAAGCACACGAAGACCAAACCCGTCGTTCCGCTGGGCAAAGTACTCATCCGCCCCAGGCACACCCTCGCTCAGCACCGCAAGCGATTGTCCCAGCAGCGGGAACACCGTCCCGAGCACGCCCAGCACGTCCCAGCCTCCGCCACGCTTGCCAGACACCATGTTCGAGATGGACCCGCTCTCGCCATCGGCATACAGCGAACGCACAAGCGCGAGCTCTACCTCGCCGCTCTCGGTCGATGCCACCATGACCTGTGCCACCACCTCCAGGTACCCAAACAGGCTCGTCTGCACTGAAGTCACGGTCTCGCGCGCCGTCTCCAGCTCATCGTCCTCGTCTTCAGCGTCTTCCAGCGCCTCTAGCGCCTCGGCAACCTGCGTCCGCAGACGCCCCGCAAACTCTGGCCAGATCTCGGCGTTGAACTTGCGCTCCACGCCGGTCATTGCTTCGACGACCATCTCCTTGCCCAGCTCCCGCCATGACACCATGTTGTGCATCACTTCCGCGAGCGCATGTACAGATTGCGACATCGACCGACTGGACCGACCATCTGCATCGTCGCCACCCTCGTCGCCGTTGCCAGCCCTTGCTCCGTCGGCTCCGCCCTCGCTCCGCGACGTGATGACCTTGGCCAGCCCCACAAGCTCCCGCAGGAACTGTCCCAGCAGTTCGGTCTCGCCCTCGGCCTGCGCCACAGCCTTCGCAATCCGCTTCGGCGCCAGCTTGCTCAACGCCTCTTCCATGCTCGCCTTGACAAGCGAGTCTTCCTCTTCCCTTCCTCCTCCTCCTCGCCTTCTTCGTCGGCGTCGTAAGCATTCTCTGCGTCGGTGGCGTCCTTCTCCTCGTCCCCGCCTTCCGACGCCTTCAGCAGCCGGTCCACAATCGCCACATACGATGCTCCGCTGCCGCTCTCTGCACGCTCGCTCATCTCCACCAGCTCGTCATACGCCATAGAGCCAACACCGGCACGCTCAAACACCCGCGTGTAGAACTTGGCCACGACGCTGCCGCCGTAGTCCAGCCCGCGCCTCCGGTAGCCGTCCATGACCACAGCCATGGCAGGCACACCCAGAACGCCCTTGAGCTTGCTCAGCAGCTCGCCAAAGTCGCTCTCGGTCACCAGTTCGCCCACAAGCTCTGCCAGCGCCTCCACAAGCTCGCCAAAGTCCACGGCCCCGTTGTCTTCTTCACCGACCTCGCCGTCGCCGTCGTCGTCGTCGATCTCTGCAGTAAGGCTCCCACCTCCTCTGCATCCGCAGCACCCGCTCGAGCTTCCTTCACCGAGCGTCGCCGCCTCCGAGTCCGACTTGGACCATGTCGCGCCGAGCTTGCGGAGCGAGACAAGGACGCGCCCCGGAATGAGCGCTTCCACAAGCTCGCCGACCACACTCGACATGAACACCTCCATGTCGACCTCCTTCACAATGTCCACGATCATGCCCAGGTTCGCCTCCACAAGCGCCAGCAGCTCGGGAACAGATACGCCACTCCGCCGCGCCTCGACAAAGCTGACCACAATCTGCGAGCCGAACACTGTCATCTTGCCCATGTCTGCCTCGAGCGCCCGGAGGAACGCGTCGGCAAAGGCAGAAAAGAAGGCGCCCACAATCGCGCGCACCTTGCCGCCCGACAGTCCCTCAAAGACACCTGCCAGCTTGGCCAGTGGCGACGTTCGGACGGCAGCCACAACCTGGGCCATCACCTCCTCCAGCACACGCGCGTCCACACGGCGCAGCGCATCCTTCAGCTTGCCCAACACAACTTTGCGGAGGAACTGCCTCAGCAGCTTGATGACCACCACCTGTGCCACAGGACCCACCGCCTCCACCGCCGCGTGCGTCACAAGCTGTTTGGCACGCTTCGACGACGCAAGCAGCTTCGTCATCTGCCCCAACAGCTCGTGCTCGAGCACGGGCGTCTTCAGCATCGATTTGATCTTGAAGCCCTCGGCCCGAGCCTCGTCAAAGTAGCAGAAAAAGTAGTCGCCCGCTATCATGTCTTCCATGATCCCACGGAACCAGAGGTACACATTGCCAGCCCGGCCGTGGGCGCTGTTGCGCGACGAGAAGCCCTTGATCCCGCCCATCCACTTGCTGAAGAACGCTACAGCCTCCTCGCGTCCGGCAGCTCCGCGGTCACACAGCCGCAGGTACTCTTCCACCTCGCGCGCGTAGAGCCACCGCCCCATCGCGTCCTTGCCAAACATCTCCTCGTACAGCAGCCAGTCGAACATCCGTCCCGACATAAAGTTCATCCACACCTGGCCCATCTCTGAGCCCAAGTCTGCCGTCCACTTGTACTGCAGCGCGTACGCCACCAGCTCCAGTGGCGTCCCCGTCAGGGCAACCTTCCACCGCGTAAACAGCTGGCATAGGTGGCTCTGCAGCTCTTCCACCTCCTCGTCGCTCAGCGCAAACGTACCCGGTCGCGCAGGCACCTTGTCGTGATACGAGTCGCTGCTCAGGACATACCGCGCAAACGAGCCGGTCGCGTCGCCGAACAGGTTGCCCATCGTAAACGTCTCGCGATTTCGCACGCCAAACTTGTTGGCAAGCACTCCAGCGGCCTCGTCCGTCATTGTCTCGTACAACCAGTCGGTCACGTTCGGCTTGAACGAAATGTCCAGCCCAAACTCGCTCACACCGATCTGCAGCCGCTCCAGTAGCCCACCCAGCGTCCGCCGCGTGTCCAGCGTCAGCGCCATCCGCAGCCACACAAACTCGACTGCGCTTACGGCCCCGCTCTCAAACACGCGTCCGGCCTCGATCACCTCCTCTACGAGGTCACCAAAGTCCTCTGTTGACAGCTGCTGCGTGATCTGCGCCACAAGCGCAAGCACAACGCCACGCTGTGCACTCACAGGTGTGTACACCTTGCACAACTCGTTGAGCGCTTCGCCCACTTCGCACAGCGCCTCCAGCACAGCGCTGTTCTCGGCGTGCGGGCTGAGCTCGCGCCCAACCCGGAGCACCCGCCCCAATGCCTCGACGCGCCACTCCAACCGCCGAATCCGCGCGTCCGCGTCCGCCACCTTGAACAGCTCCATGGGCGCATCGGCCTTGGCCTTGCTCTTGGCTTTGGACTTGGACTTGGCTTTGGACTTGGACTTGGCTTTGGACTTGGCCTTGGCCTTGACAGTGCGGTCCTCGCTCCCACCCTCCTCGGCAGCTGCTGTTGCCCGCACCTCGGCCTGCTCCTCGCGTCGCGCGCGGATCTCGTACTCCATCCGAGCCAGCTCGGCTTCCAGCTCGGCTTCCAGCTCCCCTGCTTGGCCAAATGATGATTTTTGAGCCTCGTCGCCAAAGATAGCCTCCACGGCGGCGCTCCACTTGAGCGATCCCTCCATGCGTGCCATGACCCAGCCAGACGTTGCCTTGGCCACAGACACAATCTCACGCTGCGATTCAACAGTCTCGTTGCCGGTTGCCGCCTCGGGCAGGGCCCCGGCCTGGGTCTCGGCAGAGCTGTGCACCTTGCACATCTTTTCAAGCAAGTCCTGCTCGGCCCATCCGGCCGGTACCGATGAGAGCCCGTCCAAAATAGCACGCGCGGCGCGCGTCTCTACATACATCACATTCGACGCACGCCCGAGGTGGATCGTCCCGTATGGCAGGCCAAACACCTCGAGCATTGCCTCAAAGGTGTCCTCCACAAGCAGCCCACGCATGTGCTGGAACGAGAGCACAAAGTTGGAGAGAATAGCACGAAAGGCGAGTCGCGCCTCTTTCTGCATCTCCTCCTGAAGCGTGCCCGGCAGCGACGCCACCATCCGTGGCACTGCAACCGCAAGGTAGCTGACCATCGCGTCGCCCACCTTGCTTGCAGCATTGAAACGCTCAAGCGTCCTGGTCGACGCCACAAACAGCGGCGCCCCGTTCGGGTTCAGCAGCCGCTTGACAAGCTCCTTGTCAAATGGCCGCTTCATCATCGCAAGCCGGCTCATGATCGTTGCACGCACAGACCGCGGCGACTCGCGCTCACCGATGCACTGCAGCACAGTCTCGACGTAGCACTGCGGCCGCAGAAGCACACGTACAATGGCACCGACGAGTCGGTCCAGCAGCGCGTGCGGATCCACCGCCGCCGTCACACTCTCCACAATCGCGCTGAGCGAGACAGAGCTCGTCCGCATCGGGAGCTTTGCCACCGCCTCCGAGAGCACCTCGGGCCGACCGACAACCTCGTCGTAGGCAATGTCAATGAGCTCACGCACGAGCGCGGTCTTGGTTGTCGACGATGCCACCGCAATTGCCGACGCGTCCAGCGCTCCAAGTCCGAGTGCGTGCGCCACAAACGCCAGCGGCATCTGGGTGTTCACCTTGGTCTCGCGCCACTTGCCCATTGCGTCCAGCGTCCGCTTCATCTTGTGCGCCGTCGAGCCGAGTGCCCGCTTCCGCCCGACAACCTGCCCAGCGTACGTCACCAGCGCCTCCTCTGCAAGCGCAATGACAAACTCGGCATCCTGCAGCTCGCCCGGCACCGGCGCTGCCTGCCGCACCATCCACTCAATGAGCTCGATAGCCTCGGCTCCGGCCTTGTCCAGCCCACTCTCGGAGAGTTCGGCCACAGTGGCTCCCAGCGAGTCGAGACCCACGCCGGTCGGATCTCCACTGGGGCGAGCCTCGTCATCTTCGTCCGACGACGACAACGACCCAGCCCGCTCATCGCCGAGACCACCCACCAGGGCTGCCAGCGCCCCTTCGGTTGCACCAGACCGACCGTAACGCACCACGGCCTCACGAGCAACCCGTTTCAGCTGGGCACACGCAAAGATCCGCGAGACGGCATAGAGGCAGCCCGAGACCTCGAGTGCAACCTCGCCCTCGCGGGCGGCAAGGACCCGCAGCTGCTCGCTCCGTGACGCCGACGCGTCCAGCGGTTCGCTCCCGGCCTTGAATCCGGACGTCTCCGCGGTGTGTGCCACCAGATAGTCTGGCACCCGCGCGCCGCCCACGAGCAAGCCCGGCCACGACTCATGGATCATGAGGAGAACAACGACGGCCTCGCATGCCGCCGAGTCAAACTCCTCCATCACCGCAGCCTCGTACTCGGCCTCGCTCCCGCTAGCCTCGGCATCAGCAGCGCTGCCCTTAGCCTTGCTCGCCACGCGCGCAGCCTTGACCGAGGCCTTGGCCACTTCGCCTGCCAGCTGGCGCGCAAACGCGTGGCCCGTGTTCAGCAGGCAGCTCGCCAGATCCAGCGCGGCGACTGCCACCGCCTGTGCGCTCTCCCGGTAGCCGCGGGTCAGCCGGGCACCGACTGCCAGCTCGCCTTGCACCACCCGCACCCGGTGGCCGATCGAGGTCATGAGCTCAAAGAGCGCGTCGAGGATGTCAAACAGCTGCGCAGCCTCGGCTGCGTTGGCCTTGCCTCTCGCCACCTCGTCCATTGTCTTGGGCAGTCGTGCCTTGAAAACTGGAGGACGTGGATGAGGACGTAGTTGAGGGTAAAGAGCTCGCGGAGCACCGCCCCGTCGGCCTCGTCCGTTTCGCCCACAATGTGGAAGAGCTGCCGCAGGTCAGTGAGCAGCTTGGTCGATACCCGGGCGAGCAGCACCATTCCGTGCAGCGAGAGCTTTGGATACTGCTTTGTCGAGCTTCCCGAGATCCTCATCACCCGCTGCAGCACCCTGCGGGTCTTGCAGAGCCGCCGCTCGCGGTCCGACATAGAGAGCCCGGCCTCCGAAAGCGTCACCGCCTCGCGTAGCTCTGCATCGAGCCACTCGTTGCCGCCAGCCTCACTGTCGTCCGAGTCCGAGTCCGAGTCGCCACCGGTTGCACCGACCCGGGCGCCGCGCGCTGCACCGCGCTCAACCTCGCGCTCCAGCCCCAGCGAGGTGAGGAGCTTGACTAGCTGCGCCTCGGGCGAGCGGCCTTGAACATCGTCGTTGTCGACCAGCAATGCGTCGCGGACGTCGTGCCGCCGGCTCCGCCGTGAGTCGTCGAGCGCGTCGATCTCACCGAGATCGCCGTGGGAGTTTTTTGTCCACAGCTCGGCGACCTCGAGTGCCCGCTCCAGCGGCGACCGTTCGCCCACCCCGCGGAGTGCGTCTACAATTCCGTCGCGCGCAATGGCGGCAAGCACGCGCTCGCGAACAGCCGTATCGGCACTAGGCAGAGCGCCCCGTGGCGCGGTGCACAGGGCTAGCAGCACGTCGATGAGCGCCTTCTCTGCATTCCGGTGGCCGAAATCGGTCTCCAGCACCACGTTCATGTCCGCAAAGGCCTGAGAGACCAGGCCACGCGCTTCAGCGGCATCCTTGACAACCACGTCGTACCGCCGCACAAGCATCTTGGGCACAAGCTCGCTAAGCTTGGTCAGTGCCACGCTCACGTGGGCCCGTGCAAGGTCGCGGTCAAAGTCGGCCACGATGGCGCCCACGCCCTCCGAGTACAGAGTCGAGTACGCCCGGGCCCAGGGGCTCACCAGCGCGTCCGCCTCCAGAATCGCACCCTTGATTGCGTCCTGCGCCTCGTCCCACGACAGGCCCTGTAGCTCGTCGAGGGCGGCAGACACCGTCCCGGATGCCTTGTCGAGCACGTCTTCGACCATCGACGTCGCCATCTCGTACACAAAGGCCACCAGCTCGCGGCCGACGGCCTCGCCGTCGTCCACAATCTTGTCCACCTCGGCCTTGAGGTCCGGCTCGACGAGCTCGCGTGTAAAAGCATGGAGGTGGGTGATGACAAAGTCGCGCCAGGTCGTGGCCAGCGGAAGGTACCGCGAGCCCACTCGGTTGACGATCGCCAGCAGCTCCTCCTCCTCCAGCGCCGTGGCGTAGTGCGATGCGACGAGGCCAATGAGCGGCGAGAGGCCGCGGAGCGGAAGCGAGACGAGGACGCCAAGCAAGCTCGGGACCAGCCCGCCGACCTTGGCTTTGCGCTCAAAGGCGCCCATGACCGCCCCGCCGTCGCTTTGGATGCGTTTGCGGAAGCGCGCCTGTGCATTGAGGATGGGCTTGAGCGCGTTGCGCAGGATATGGTCCGGCTCGCGAGAGAGCGCGTCGACAAGGACCATGAACACCCCCTCAACCACTGTGGTCGATGAGTAGACCATCTCTGAGACGAGCGCCTCGCAAAAATGCGGAAAGACCGAGTCCGACATGATGCTCTTGGCGTAGTGCGAGACGTAGGCCTTTAGCGATGCGGGCGTTCCCGGCGGCGGCTTGCGGACGAGGCTTTTGACCAGCGGTGTGACCTTGGGGTCCGGGTCAAACTCGTTGAGCGTGCTTGCCCAGTCGCCGCGCTGCGCCTTGACTGCCGCGGTCTTGAACGAGGCAAACACATCGCCGATGGTAATGTCAAAGTAGTACGGGCCCGAGAGCTTCTTCTGGAAGGCCTGGAGCTTGGGACCGAGGAAAGCGAGGCCCGGCACGTCTTCGAACACTGCCGGGTTGAAGACCGAGGCCACGGCATCGCGGAAGGCAGGGCTCTTGGGGAGGACCTCGACCACCTCAGGTACCACTTGCGAGAGTACGGCCTCGTACAGCGAGTCGAACCAGGAAGAGCAGATCTCGTCGAGCGCGTCGGGCGGGATGCTGCCCACGACTGCCGACGCCATAGGGACCAGGCCGCGCTCAACGACCTGCCGCAGGTCGACACGCGAGAAAATGACCTCGAGCACTTGCCCGAGCGCTGCAGCGAGGCCGGCGATGTTGAACGACGACTCGCGCGAGGACGAGGACGAGCCGGCCTTGAACTCGCGGATGAGGGCGGCAACGCCAGTGCCCATGGTGACTATGGCGTCCTTGAGTGAGATGAGGAAGTCGAATGGGACCACGGCCTTGGCGACAACCTGGACCAGGGCGCCGGCCAGCGACGGTGAGTTGGAAGCCAGTGCCTTGAGCACCACCGCCATGACGCCGGGCACCGTCGGCTGCGGTTCGGTCTGGGCGTAGACCACGCCCTCACGCGCGGCCGCAACAGCCACGGCCGGCGATGCGGTGAGGGCGCCTATTTCGTCGAGCAGCGAGTCGACAATGTTGTGGAAGACATGCGCCTCGGCGAGCTGGGTGTCGACATAGTCGAGGAAAAACTCCATAAACTGGACCGGGGTGCCGGCCAGGACCGACCGGACCGACATGAGCGCGCCGCGGACGGCGTCGATGAGCGAGGCAAAGGCATCCTCGACGGCTCCGGCGGTGTTGAGCATGTCGCCGACAACCGAGCGGAGCGTTGACATGACGCCGGTGGAGAAAAAGCCAAACACTTCTTCGAGCACCTCGTGGCACTTGACCAGTAAGAGCTCGACGGGCATGGCAGCCCAGAGCGGGTCGATGATGGCGTCGATGGAGAGGCCGGCAAGCGCGTCGAGGCCCTGCGAGCCCCAGGCAAAGGCTGAGTCAAAGAAGGCCTCAAACGGGCGAAGGAGGTAGCTGACGAGACCGTCAGCGAGCGAAGCGGTCGGATCGGCAGCCTTGGCCAGGCTGTCGCCGTGCTGGGTGACAAAGGCTGCGAGCAGGGCCGAGGAGGCGCCCGTGACCAGGAGCGGTGCGGGCGCCATGGCCGCGGTCATAGCGGCCAGCGCCTTGGGCACCACCTCCAGAGCGGCGGTTGTCGGCGAGACAACGAGCGTGGCAAGCATGGTGCCGAGCGAGCCCCGCGGCGTCACCGATGGATCGAGCACTTTGTCGAGCAGCGCGGCTCGCATGGCATCCAGGAGGGCGGCGTCAAAGCCGGCCCGCGAGAAAGCGGCCTTGACTGCCGAAAACGGCGCGGCAAAGGCGGCAAAGCCGACAGCCTGCATAGCGCCGAGGAGGGTGTCGAGGACGTGGCCACCGAGCGAGGCCAACGAGTCGGCAGCGAGCGCGAGTTCGACGGCGGCGATGGCGCCCTGGACCCGCGACCGCTTCTCGCCCGAGCTCCCGGACATGAGGTTGGCCTCGCTCCGCAGCGCCCACCGGAGGTTCTCCAGTTCTTCATCAGGCAGGGCAAGCGAGGGTTGAGTGACAAAGCGGAGAGTCTTGCGAATGATCGAGGTCATGGCCTTGACAAACGGCTTCGTCGCGGCCTGTAGCGAGCCGCCCGCCTTGGCGGCCCACGTGGCCGATACGGCGGCCTCGACCACGGCGCGGACCACCGACTCGAGCTCAAAGAGTGGCTTGTCGTGGACGAGCTCCTCGCAGCTGGTGACAAACGGAGAGCAGACGGCGGCGACAAAGGCCCGAAGGTTGGGCGTTGCTGCCAGCACAAGATCGGCAATGAGCTTGCCCATGGCGTCAGCCGAGCCGAGCTGGGCATCAAGAAGGGCGCTGGCCAGGGCGTCGGCGAGCGAGGCGAGCGAGGCCCGATCCACCAGCGCTGCCGACGAGCTTGTAAGCGAGTCGAGGGCGTGAAGTGTCGCAGGCCAGTCGGCGGCGTCCGAGTCGGCGGCGTTGAGCTCAACGCCCGGGGCGGCGCTTGCTGGGATCATGAACAGCGCCACAAACTGGGCCTTGACGCTTCGGCGCAGCGCGGCGCTCTTCTTGCCCGGCACGGCATCCGGGTCTGCTGGCGCCGCGCCAAAGACGGTCTCTGCGGCGCCGGCGAGGGCAAGGTAGAGGTCATGGGCGGGAGGAAGAAAGGCGTCGAGGGCAGCGTCCCACAGATCAAAGACAGCGGCCGGGGCAAGAACCTCGCCAAAGAGCGAGGTCTGCGTCGTGGCCTCGAGCGCATCGATGGCGTCCTGGATCTCGTCGTCGGCGTCGACGACGGTCCGGACGTCCTCGAGTTTGGCGATGAGGACGGCGGTCTGGCGAGCCAAGAGGTCGAGCGGGGCCGAGAGCGCAGACGCGAGCTGGGCGCCAAACTTGGAAATGCCCGAAGAGCCCGAGACCGACGACATGACGTGGACGACTGCTTCAAGGAGCGGGTCGAGAGAGGGCGCGATGGCGACGTGCAGGAGAGCCACTGTGCGGGAGGCTGGGAAGCCGCGGGAGAGCGCGTTGCCGAGCGAGGCGCCGTCGATTGAGCTTGCCAGAGCACCGAGCGACGAGAGCTTGGCCGAGAGCGTCAGTTGCTTGGCCAGCAGCAGCTCGAGCGCTCGGGTTACGGCTGGGTCGTCAAGGTTGGCGTCGGTACTAGCAGTGGTGATTTCGGCCGAGAGCGCGTCAAGGGCGTCGGCAAGGGCAGCCATGCGCGAGGCTAGTGCGTGGCGGGCGTTGCTCAGCGGCTCGAGCACGATTGTGGCGGAGAGCAAGTCCTTGAAGCCGGCGGCGATCCAAGAGCGGAAGACGGCCGGGCCGAGGTGGAGCTTGGCGGCGAGCGTGTCGCGCATGCGGAGAGCAAGCGCGCGGGCGGCCGAGGCTTTGGCGGACGCAAGCTTGGCCGGCGACTCGGCGAGGAAGGTTGCGAGCGAGGTGCGACCGCCGAGCTTGGCCAAGAGCTCGGCAAAGAGGTGCGGGGTGTCAAGCGCCGAGGCGATGGCAACTGCGGCAGCCTTGGAGGCACGGGTGGTAACCTCTGCACGTGCGGCGGCGAGTGCCTTGGCCTTGGCCAGCGGCGAGGCGACGAGGCGGGCAAGGTCATCGATGGCGACGTTGAGGGCGCGTGAGGTCTTGTGGGTCGACGCCGACGAAGCCATGTGCTTAAAGGCCAGCTCGAGACGGACATGGATGGCGTCGAGCTTGAGCGCGGTGCGGATGAGCGAGACGACGTTGGAGGCAAGCCGGATGTGGGTCTCGGCCGACTCGGACTCACGGTTGCGGTCGGTGAGGTGGCGGAGGCGATCGACGAGGACGGAGAGGCCGGCGGAGCGGAGGATTGACTCGGTCTGGGAGGTGAGCGAGTCAACAAAGGCGGTGACATGGCCGGGCTTTGTCACGTACTCTTCAAAGTTGTCGAGGTTGTGATCGATGGCGGCGGCGAGAGCGGCGCCCGAGGCTGCGGCCGACGTGCCGACCGACGCCGTGTCGACAGGCGCGGCATGAGCGACGGCAGCGACCAGGGCGGCGAGCGGGGTTGGCGCCGGGGCACGGAGCGCGGCAGTGGGGGTCGGCGACGAGGCCGAGGCCGAGGCCGAGGCCGAGGACGGGGCGGAGCGGCGCGGGCCGCGCTTTCGGCCGAGCAGGTCAACCACCGATGCCTGGGTCACCTTGTCGACTACCCGAGCAAACGAGGAGCCCTTGGAGAGCATGGTGGTAAAGATGCGGGTGAAGAGTGCATCGAGATGCGGGCGGTGGAGGGCGGCTGGAATGGCGTCGAGGGCAAGCGCGGTGAGCGAGAGTGGGTGGCGGGTGGCGGCCGGGGCGGCGACGAGGCCGGTGAGCTGGCCAAAGACGACGACCGAGAGGCGCGAGCCAAGCCAGGCGAGGCCGGCCTTGACGACGCGGAGGCCCCAGGCGGCCAGCTCTGTGGCCGAGGCAGTGGCGTGCGGGACGGGCGGCGCGGCGCGAAGAGCAGCAAGGAGGGCATCAACGACCATGTCTGCGAAGCTCTCGTTAGACTGTAGCTGGGCCTTGAGCTGACGGAGGAAGTTCTGCCATGTGGCGGTGGCGACGTCCGGGGCGGAGCGGCAAGCGGTGAGCATGCGGCGGAAGAGCGGGGCAAACGGATGGCGGGCCGAGGTGAGGAGCGAGGCAAAGTGGGCGAGGAGGCCTTCTGCGGCGGGCGACGACTCGGACGAGACGGCGATAAACTTGGCGGTGAGATCGCCGGCTAGGAGGGCGCGGAGCTTGGCCTTGAGTGAGTTGACCAGAGCCGAGAGGCGGTCGGTGGGCTCGGGCGCGTAGAGCTTGGTCATGGTGAGCCTGCGGGCCTGGACGGCGGCGAGTTTTGCCGAGAGCGAGTCGCGGGCGATCAGGACGCGCTCGACCACGTAGAGTGGGAGGCCAAGCGAGCGGAGGTCTGCAGGAGTTGCTGCGGCAAACTGAGCGCCGGTAAACTCGGCAAAGAGCTCGCGCATCCGGTCCGGGTTGACGATGCTCGAGACGCCGGCGCGGTCCGAGTCGGACGACGAGTACGAGGCCGAGGCCGAGGCCGAGTAGAGGCCGGAGCCTGCGACGTCGGACGACGAGTGCTGGTAGCCCGAGTACGAGCCGAGGACCGACGAGTATGAGAGGTCATCGCCGGGCGAGTCGGGAGGCGAGTCTGAGCCATCGCGGTCGTGGTGGAAGGCTGAGCCCGAGCCCGAGCCCGAGAGCGATGCGTCGTCTGCGGCGGCGACGCGGGAGGTCTTTGCGCTTGCCGGGCCTGATGCGGTGAGACCGGCCTTGACCATGCCTGCAATGATGGGCGGCGACCAGAGGGCATCCCACAGGGCCGGCAGGTCGAGCGAGGCCGGAAAGGAGCGAATAGCGTCTGCGACCGAAGAGGGCAGGCGAGCAAAGACGTTGCCCGGGCGTGGGCGCCGTCGGGTGTCATGTCGTCCTTGGCGAGGCGAATGTTGATAAAGGCGACGAGCCTGTCGCGCTCGGCAAGGAGAGACGCCGCGATGTCGTGGGGCAGGTTCGGGAAGCGGGCGGAGATGTTGTCGGGCGTGAGCGAGAGGAGGGCCGGCCCGGAGAGCGTGGCGTAGTAGTCGGAGACTGGGCCGAGGTCAAGCTCGACCATGGCGAGCCAGTTGCGGACGTCGAGCGGGGAGAAGCGGGCGAGGACGTCGGGCGCGGAGAGCTCAAAAGAAAGCTTACGGAGCGCGGGGGTGATGTGGGTCTCGAGCCTGTCGCCGATGTCGCGCATCCGCGCAACGCCAGTGTTCATGGAGCGCGCAAAGTCGAGTTTGGTGGTTGATATGGCGTGCGGCATGTGTGCGGCCGACGAGAGGGCGGTCGCCTCGAGAAGGCCGAAGACTGTGGCAAAGACGTTGAGGAAGGGGTCCAGGGCGTCGGGCGCAAAGGGGCCGAGCAGCGAGGCGATAGGCCCGCGGATGACGTCGAGGAGCAGCTGGGAGCGCGGCTCGCCAGCCTTCATGCCTGCGGTGAGGGTGGAGACGATGGAGAAGAGGGCGACGGTGTGGGCGTTGCCGAGGGCCTCAAAGGCAGAGACGGTGTCGAGCGCGGAGCGCGAGGCGGCCATGACGGTAGCCATGAGCTCCTGCGGGTTCGACGGGCCAGGCTCGTCTGGATCGTCGCCAGTTGCGGCAGCAGCGCCAGCAACGGGGATGCCTGCGGCGGCGAGTGCGCCCATGGTCTTTGTGGCGAGATGAGTGGGCACGATGGAGAGGATGGTGTCAAAGACGTCCTTAAAGGCGTTGACAACGAGCTCCTTCCACGACTTGAGCTTCTTGTAGGTAAAGGTGACATGGCCGCCCATGGTGAGGACGGCAGTAGCCCAGGGGAGGACGCGGATGGTGTTGATGACGAGGCCGAGGAGGATCCACATGAGAATGAGGAAGACGCCGACGAGGTTGACATAGACGAGGGCGGCAAAGTAGCGGTGGAAGATCCACTGCAGGTAGGCGCGGAAGCGGTAGGCCGAGGAGAAGCGGTAGAGGTGAAAGGCAAACTCGAGCGAACCCATGAGCAGGTTGGCGCCAAAGAGCGAGACGGCGACGATGCGGAAGATGACGCTCGAGGTGCCGGCCTCGTACATGTAGGCGGCGACGACGATAAAGGCGGTGGGTGCGACAAAGATGGCGTAGACGGAGATGACGGAGAAGATGTTGCGGAAGAAAAAGTCGATTGCGGCGACGAGCTTCTCACGGAGGACTTGGACGCGCGACTTGGGCTTTGGCTGGACGAGGGTGTCCTCCAGCGAGACCTCGTCTGCGCGCGACTGGGCGGAGCCATCGTCGTTGTACTTGCCCTTGATGATGGCGGCGTTGGCCTTCTTCATCAGCTGGGCCTCGGAGAACTTGCCGGCCTCCTTGGAAAAGTACCAGAAGACGCCTGACTGCTGTAGGAAGGAGGCACCGGAGGGGCCTGCTTCGATCGAGGTAGCTGGGGCGGAGGCTGATGCGGCGGCGGCGGTGGCGGCGGCAGCAGAGACCTTGCGAAGTTTGAGGGCCTTCCGGGCTGCGGCGAGCTCGGCCTTCCAGCGGGAGGAGACGAGCTTGAGGGTGAGGAAGAGGACGATAAAGGCGAGGAGGAGCGAGGCGAGGATGGCGAGGCCGTTGAGGATGACAAGGAGCATGTCGTCGAGGAAAGAGACCCGCTTGCGGAGGTAGCGCTCGGAGGCCGGGTCGTACTCGTAGATGGACCAGGAGGCGGCCGGCTCGTCGGGGGTGCGGAGGGCGAGGACGCCGTCTGAGGAGGCGGCGGCGGCGATGGTGAGATAGGAGGCAAAGAGGCGGGCCTCGGTCCGGGAGGTGACTTGCAGGCTGTTGGAGGCGGTGGCAGAGGCCGGGACCGGGTCTGTCGGGCAGAAGCCCGGCGAGAAGCGGAGCTCGAGGTCTGCAGCGAGCGGCGAGAGGAGGCCGAGCGAGACGGTACGGAGGTAGCGGAGGTTGAGCCGGAGGAAGACCTTGGAGAGGACCCACATGTACGAGGCGGTGTCGTGGCCCGGAGCGCCGGGCCCGGTGAGCTTGAAGCGGATGAGCTCGTAACCGACGTCGGAGAGGTCGTTGGCCTCGTGGAGGCCGGCGAGGGCGGAGCGCGAGGCCGGCGAGAGGGCAAGGCTTCGGGCGGTGCCTGTGTAGCGTGACGTTGGCGCGGTGGAGGTGACAAAGGCGCCAGCGGCGTCCAGGACGGCGGCGTGGACCTCGTAAGAGGCCGAGGCGGCCAGGGCGACGGGGGCGGCGCCGGCGGCGTTGGTGAGGATGGCGCCGGAGCAGGAGGAGACATTGGTGGCAGGCGCGGTGGAGCAGGCCGGTGGGGTGGCGAGGACCGGAGCAGTGAGGCACGATGTGTCGGACGGCACGGTGTAGCTGAGGGCGAGCGAGGTGGTGGTGGAGAGAGTGACCGAGCCAGCGGCAGTGGCGGCCGATCCGGCGCCGGCGGCCGGCAGGGCGAGGGCGTCGCCGACGATATCGCCGGCATCAAGGGCAAGTGCGAGCGGGGCGGCGAGGTCGAGCCGGCGCAGGACGAGCGAGCCAAAGGCACCGACGGCGGAGAGCGGCGGGGCGAGGGCGAGGCGGGCAGACGGCGCGGCGGCGATGGTGACGTTGGCGGCGCGGGAGGCGTTGACGACGAGGCCGATGGGGGCAAAGGGCTGGTCCGGGGCGAGGACGAGGACGGCGGAGCAGCCGAGGGCGGTCGGCGAGGCCGCGGCGACGGTGAGGGTATTCGACGACGCGTCGTAGGCGAGCACGCCGCGGCCGGACGGGCCAAAGGCGACCGAGGCGGCGTGGGCGGGCGCCGGCGCAGGTGCGGGCGCCACGGTGAGCGAGCAGGCCGAGACGGCGAGGGTGAGGGCCGGCGCGCCGGCGGCGGTGGCGGCCGGTTTTTTTTTTTTAGCGCGGCGGTGGCGGCCGGCCGGACGAGGACGAGGAAGAGCGCGGCGAGGGTGGCGAGGGTGGCCGCAAGGAGGAGCGCCAGGCAGGCGAGCCGGGGCGCCCGGTACTTGCGGGCCGCCGCGGCGCCGGAGAGCCCGCCATGCGCGGCAGATGCTCCAGCGAGCCGCGGTAGGCCGCCCGGAGTTGTTGACGCTAACGGCGCCACCTTGCTGCTGCGGAGCATGGCAGTTTGGGAGACGCGTGGGGTATGAGGGGGTGGGTGAAGGGAGTTGGAAGTGAGTGAGACGGGATCGGGGCGGTGGAGGAAGGGGGGGGGGGGTTGCCATAGCATGGGCAAGGGTATGAGTAAAAAAAGAGTTATAAACGGGTACTAAAATGGCCAAAATAATATATTTGTATATTCGGTGCTGTAAAAGTAGTGTATATTTAAAATTAGGCGTTGTGAATAATATTAACATGATAATATGGAAATGAAATTATATAAGTTTATGGTTTGAATAATGACATAGGTGATGGAAGCGTGGAAATTCTTCCCGGGGTGTTGAAGGGCGGCGTCGGGCAGAGCGAGTTGCAAGGAGCTGTTGGTTAGCTTGCTTTATGGGGTATGGCACGATGATGCGCGTTGTGATGGGGTCGCTGGAATGCAGTTGGGGCAAGGAAAGGCGTGAATGGCGAGAAAAGCCGCTTGAGCCTGGAAAAGTGTGCTCGAGAAAGCTCCCTTCGACATTGCGGGGTGCGGGTCGAACGGCTGGCGCAGGTCACCTGCAGATGAACGCAAGCCTCTGTGAGGAGTGGCACAGTCATGGGGGGTCTTGGGTGGGGAGAGAGACTCTGCCCGCGTCGTCTCCCCGCGCCCTGCACGGCCTAGCCGACCTGGCCTGGTCGCCGTACGTGCCGACAGGAGGTAGCTCTCTGAGATGAGTCACATGCGGAAGGTCTCGGGTTGCTGTTGGCTGGCACCGCGGCAGCCCTGGCCACTAGCCAGCTCTGGGCCAGCTCCAGGCAGACGACTGCCTTTGCAGATGGCCGATAGGCGTCAGATGCGGAGCGGATGTGTACCCTGCTAGGCAGTTCCGGCCGTGGAGTGGGCCGTGACCCCACTGGGGTCTGGCCGTGTGGCGGCTGTGCACTGCATGTGCGCCGCATGTTTGTGGCTATATTTTTTTTGGGACTCCAAACTCGCTTGTGGGGGTTTGGCTGTATTAAGTAAGGCGTGTGGCCCTGGCGGTTGCAACGGCCTGAGCTGCGGCACACACGAGCGGAAGTCGTCGCGGAGTCAAAACCGCGCCGATTTCACGCTCGAAGTAGTACAGCATTGTCCAAACTCGCTTGTGGGGGTTTGGCTGTATTAAGTAAGGCGTGTGGCCCTGGCGGTTGCAACGGCCTGAGCTGCGGCACACACGACTCTTACATTGCCTCGCCATGACCTCGTGCATGGCTTCGCTCGCTCTGATTGTGCTACTTGCGCTGGTCGCGGCGGCGGCCGCTGCGCCTGGTCCGTCGCGGGTCGTCTCGCTCCTCCAGCTGGCCAAGGGCGGCAACGCCACGTTTGGCAACGCTGCCGTCGCTATCGACATCGCCTCGGGCACCGTCGAGGTCCTCGCGAACGTGCCGGGCTTTGGTGGGACGGGTATGCTGTGCGGCGGTGCCGACGCGGCGTCGACCTTTGTCTGCGGGCTCGGCTCGGGCGGGGTGATCAACCTCGAGACGGGCGAGGTGACGGTGCCTGCGATGGTGACGCCGCCTGGCGTCCAGCTCGACGGGGTGGTGGCCATTCCCGGCACAGACGAGTTCATCGGGGTGGACCTCAACACCGGGCGGGTGTGGCGGCTGACGACCGATCCGACTTTCGGCGTGGTCTTCACGCCGACCAAGTGCGACCAAGGGCTGTTTGACGAGGGTTTTGCCATCACCGCCGACGGCGCGTTCTACCTCTACTCGACCGGAGCCCAACTGGCGTGGTGCAACCTGACGACGAACACCATGACGACCTCGGATGTCAAAGCCGGGCTCTTCCATGGGATCGTCTCGCTCGAAGGTGAGATGTATGCTATCTCCCGCGGCTTTGACGGCGCAGCGCCCATCGTGTACACCTTCCAGCAGGACGTGGGCTATGCGTCCGGCACGTGGACGCCTGGTGCGCGGGTGGCTGATCTGGGCCCTTCGGGCAAGTTTGCCGGCTACAACTTTGTCTCGTCGTTCTTCTCGGCCAACAGCGGCACACCCAGCGCGGGCCCCGTCCTCGGCGGCTTGTTTGTCGGCAAGACTGCGAGCCCGGTCGACGCCAGGTTCGACACGCTCCTCATCTTCGACGCCGCGACAGGTGCTACCGTTGCCACCATCGACGTCGCCGATGCGTTTGGCGACGGCATCGGGCTTGGCATTGCCACCACGAGCATGTTTGTGTAGCCACCACGAGCAGGTTTGTGTGGCTATGGTGTCGTGAGCCGGGTTTTTCCATTCCTGACCCTGTCGGTGCCCTGGTAGCCACGACACTTTACCCCATCATCATGATCATGGGCATCGTCATGGTCATCATGGTCATGGCCATGGTCATCATGGTCATGGCCATGGTCATCATGGTCATTATAGTCATCCCCATCCCCATCCCCATCCCCATCCCCATCCCCATCCC